CTGAGGGTACTGTGCCTGAGAGTTCGGAGCCTGGGGGTGCTGAGCCTGGGGGTGCTGCGACTGGGGGTGCTGAGCCTGCGTGTACGGAGTCTGGGGGTGCTGAGCCTGGGGGTGCTGCGCCTAGGGGTACTGAGCCTGGGGGTGCTGCGACTGAGCCTACGGAGCCTGGGGTTGCTGCGTCTGGGGGTGCTCCGGTTCGGGGTGCTGAGCAGTCTCTCACACCGCAGCAGCTTCGTGACTGGTACGTCCGGCGCTTTCGCCGTCCTCGTGGCCCTGCTGGAGTTGGAGGTACTGGAGCTGCCGGGACTGGCTGTTCTGGGAGCACTGAGGCTGGAGCTGCTGGAGCTGGGGACTCTGGAGCTGGCGGTGCCAGCGGAGTTGGAGCTACCGGCTCTGGGGGTGCTCTTCCTGGCGGTACTGGAGCTGCTGGAGCTGACGACACTGGAGCTGACGGTTCTGGACACGGTGGTCCTGCTGGTTCTGGAGGTGCTGGCGAGGGGAGGTCTGACGCTGCTGGGGCCTCTGGTGCTGACGTCGCCGACTCTGGGGGTGCTGCGGCGGAGGGTGCTGGTCCTGGTGCTTCTGGTGCTGCGGGTGCTGGAGGTGCTGGCGGAGCTCCGCCGTCGCGCCTGTTCTTCGCTCCTCCGTCACCGTCGGCTTTGCCACCGCCTGACACGGTGCTTCGCCAGGTTCTTTCCCTCCCGTCTTCCACTGGCCTTCCCCTCCAGCCTGGCTCCCCCCTCCCTGCTCCTGTACCTTACACTGCACTGCCGGACTCGCTTACGGAGCGTCGTGAGCCTGTGTCTCGTCCTGCCTCGCCTGTTCGTGCTACTCGCACTGCTCGCACTGCGCGCACTGGTCCCACTGGTCGTCGTGTCGCGCGTCCGCGTCCTCCTCCTGTTCCTGGCACGCATATTATGGCCCTTCGTCCTTCCACTGGTCCACAGCGTGTCCCCCTACCGTCTCCTCCTGCGTCTTCTCTTCCTGACGTTCCCGACCCTGAGTCTGACAGTGTTCGTGCTGCCCACCCTACTGTTACGCGTCTTCTCGCCACTGTTGTCACTGACCCGTCGTTTGAGTCTTCTGCTGCGTCTGCCCTGGTCGCTGAGCTTGTCGACTTTGCTGCTGCATGTCGCCTAGACTACGCCGCCAGTCTTGTTGCTGAGTCTGAGTCTGTCTGTCCTCCGTCCGTCGGGGGTGAGTGTGCTCTTGGCACGGACGTCCTTGAGGACAGGCAGGAGGACTTTGACTCTCTTGCGGCTGCTGTACCTCATCTCGTGGCCTGGTTGCTTGCCCCTGAGGGAGACCCGGATGCACTAGACATCCCCACTCCGCGCTCTTACGCAGAGGCGATCTCGGGTCCCTACTCCTCTCAGTGGCAGACAGCCATGGACGCAGAGATGGCATCCTGGAAGTCCACAGGCACCTACGTCGACGAGGTTCCCCCTCCTGGGGCGAACATCGTCGATGGCATGTGGATTTTCAGGGTGAAGCGGCCGCCGGGTTCTCCGCCTGTCTTCAAGGCTCGTTACGTTGCTAGAGGCTTCAGTCAGCGCCAGGGGGTTGACTTCTTCCAGACCTTCTCCCCCACCCCGAAGATGACCACTCTTCGGGTTCTGCTGCACGTTGCTGCTCAACGTGACTACGAGCTTCACTCTCTTGACTTCAGCACAGCTTTCCTGCAGGGCAGCCTGCACGAGGAGATCTGGCTGCGCCGCCCACCTGGCTTTACTGGGTCGTTTCCTCCTGGTACCCAGTGGAGCCTCCGCCGGCCAGTCTACGGTCTCCGCCAGGCGCCACGTGAGTGGCACGACACACTGAGGACTACACTTGCGGCCCTTGGGTTCGCGCCGTCTACTGCTGACCCGTCGCTGTTTCTGCGCACAGACACGTCGCTGCCGCCGTTCTACATTCTCGTGTACGTCGACGACTTGGTCTTTGCTACTTCTGACACTGAGGCACTCGCTCGTGTGAAGTCGGAGCTGCAGAAGAGACACACCTGCACTGACCTGGGTGAGCTGCGTAGCTACCTTGGCTTGCAGATCACCCGGGACAGAGCACGCCGCACCATTACCCTGACTCAGTCACACATGGTGCAGCAGGTCCTTCAGCGCTTCGGCTTCCAGTTCTCCTCACCACAGGCCACACCTCTGGCTACCAGCCACTCGCTCTCAGCTCCACCTTCGGACGAGTCCGTAGAGCCGAGTGGCCCGTACCCAGAGCTTGTAGGCTGCCTCATGTACCTGATGACTTGCACGCGACCTGACCTCGCGTACCCTCTTAGCATCCTTGCTCGTTACGTTGCGCCTGGGAGACACAGGCGAGAGCACTGGGAGGCTGCTAAGAGGGTGCTGCGTTACTTGTGCAGTACATCAGGCATGGGGCTGGTGCTTGGAGGACGCGACAGAGTTGTTCTCACTGGTCACTCGGACGCTTCTTGGGTGGACGACTTGGCTACGCAGCGGTCGTCGCAGGGTTACACCTTCAGCCTTGGCTCTGGTTCTGTCTCGTGGCGGTCCACCCGCTCTTCTTCTGTTCTCAGCTCTAGTTGTGAGGCTGAGATCTACGCCACGGCCATGGCTGCACAGGAGTTACGCTGGCTCACCTACCTGCTGACTGACTTGGGAGAGTGGCCTAGTTCTCCTCCAGTTCTGTACGGTGACAACAAGGCGGCCCTTGCCTTGTGTCAGGAGCACAGACTGGAGCACAGGACGAAGCACATTGCTCTTCGCTACTTTCTTGCTCGAGAGCTGCAGCAGCGAGGTCAGCTTCGGCTTGTGTACGTGGATTCGAAAACCAACACTGCTGATATCTTCACCAAGGCGCTCCCGCCTAGTGATCATCAGCGGCACTGTACTTCTTTAGGCCTTGTGTCCACATTCCCTCATTTGCTTACTGCTTGACTTTCTTTGTACTGTACTTTATATATATCTTTTTGCTTGCTTGCTAGGTTTTGATCACTGTGTTGCTTGTCTTGTACTATATCTAGCACTGCATGTGAACTGGCCTTGTGGCCTTTGCTTGTGCTCGGAGTGTGGTGACGTTGTGATCCACCCTGGGCTTGCGTTGCTTTGCTGGACTGGTCTTGTGACCCTTTGTTCTCCCCCACTTTGCCTATGGGGGTGTGTTAAACTGTTATATGTTGGTAGGCTGTAGTGGGGTAGCCAGTATGGGGTACAACCCCAACTAGGGTTAGCTACTTGTACCCAACTGTTTCATTCAATGCACCATTCTCACGCTAGTATTCTGATAACCCTAACACTGGGTGAGATCTAGATCTCACTCGTACCTATTCTGCTGTGACACATTTCCCCGCCGCAATAGCGCCTGGAACATCGCGATTTCCTACTAACACGGTCCTATTTAATCCTCCCTTTCCCCACTTAAGGGGAGAGGTTTCGCACAAGGGGTCTCCATGCAATTTCTTTTTACAGTTTCATTGTCTCAAAATTTCGACCGTAGATTACGACCGTATTTTTGAACCAACCCTAAAACAGCACGATTTACCGTATTTTACCGTAAAATACGACCGTAAAATACGATTCCGTATTTTACGGTAAATTTTCAAAAATACGACCGTATTTTTAATCCCTGCTCAAATTACATGCCAAAGATGGGTGAGACTGTTGTGGTGTGGTCAAAATTAGACAGACAATCAGCATCATAGACATATCAGGGCCGTGGCCTCCTTGCTATTGAGATATACCTCGACACAAACACAATAACGGCACCCTGGTGGCAACAAGAACAGGTGTTGAATAATTTGTCGATGTTAAGTATTAATAAGCTACATGCATTGAGTAAATTGCCTGATTTCACAATGCCACGATGATTTCAGCGCCTAGGAACACAACCCCCATGCTCTGACCTGTTAAACTGTTATATGTTGGTAGGCTGTAGTGGGGTAGCCAGTATGGGGTACAACCCCAACTAGGGTTAGCTACTTGTACCCAACTGTTTCATTCAATGCACCATTCTCACGCTAGTATTCTGATATGGTATTCAGAGCAGGTGGTCCCTAGGACCATCCGATCGTTTTTTTTAGGGCCCACCACCGCACGCTGCGGTTACCGCGTTACCCCCGCGCCCTACCCTCGTAGCGCCCTCGTTGCGCTCTAGCGCCCTCGTAGCGCCCTTTGTAGCGCCCTCGTGCGCCCTGCCGACCGGCGTCCTGCCAGCCCAGAGCCCCGCGCGCCTCCCCTGCTTTGCCCGTCGCGCCGCCCGCTCTGCCCCGCGCTGCCCGTCGCGCTGCCTCGCAGCCCCGCGCACCGCCCGCTGTGCCCCGAGCCGCCCGTCGATCTGCTGCGCAGCCCCGCGACCCGCCCGCCCTGCCCCGCGCTGCTCGTCGCTCGGCTCTGCAGCCCCGCGCGCCGCCCGCTCTGCCCCGCGCAGCCCGTCGAGCTGCCTTGCAGCCCCGCGCGCCGCCCGCTTTGCCCCACGCCGTCCGTCGCGCTGCCCGCCCGCCCGCCGTGCTGCCCGCTTGCGGAGTCGCCCGCCTGTCGCGCTGCCCGCCTGCAGCGCCGCCTGCCTGCCGCGCTGCCCACTTGCAGAGCCGCCCGTCCGCCGCGCTGCCCGCTTGCAGCGCCGCCTGCTGCTCCCTGCCCGTGCGCAATTGCCCGCCCCTGCTGTGGTAGCTTGCGTTGCTCTGCCGTACTGTCGTTATGGCTTCCATCCGCGTGCTTTCGTTCGATGCTGAGGGCCGCCCTGTGCAGTTCACCACTTGGCTAGATGACCTGCAGCTGTTCCTCCTGAGCGATAGCAAGGAGCATGTGTCGCTCTATGATTACGCGTCTGGTGCTGCACCTGCCCCTCCTGCCACAGCAGAGCTTAGTGTTCGTTCCCACTGGCAGACTCGTGACGCAGCTGCTCGCCTAGCCATTCGCAGTCACCTGCCGTTAGCTGAGCTCGAGCATTTTGGCGACTGCAAAACCGCTAAGGCCCTGTACGACGCTGTCGTTGCCCGCTATTCCTCACCTGCCACAGCCGAGCTTAGCCGCCGTATGCTGCCTTACCTGTTCCCTGAGCTGTCCACCTTTGCTACAGTCGCCGATCTTATCACCCACCTTCGCACTAGTGACGCTCGCCTGCGTGCCGCCCTTCCCACCGAGTTCTGCGCTAAGAACCCCCCTCCACTGTACTGGACACTCCACTTTCTAGTCACCCGTCTCCCTGACACCCTTAGCTCAGTGCGCGACTATTTCCTTGCTCGCTGTCCCACTGAGCTCACTGTCGCCCTCCTAGAGGAGAAACTGCTAGCAGCCGAGAAGAGCATTGTAGCTGTAGGTGCTGCTCGTGGCGCTCCTCGCACCCCCATCTTTGAGGGGTGTTCTCCCTCTCCCCTCGCTCCCTCCTACGCTACTGCTGCTGCTGTTGACTTCCTTGGTGCTGAGTCTGCTGGCGCTGCTTCTGCTCCTGGTGGGAGGCGCCGCACCGGCAAGAGCGGCAAGGGCAAGGGGGGCAAGGGTGGCGGGGGTGGCGCTGGGGGGGGAGGAGGTGGGGGAGGTGGGGGGGGAGGCGGTGCTGGAGGGAGCGGTGGCGGGAGTGCTGGTGGGAGTGGGGTCGGCAGCGGAGGCGGGGGCGGCGGAGGGAGCGGTGGCGGTGGTGGCGGCGGCGGCGGTGGCGGTGGCGGCGGCGGTGGCGGCGGCGGCGGCGGTGGCGGTGGCGGCGGTGGCGGTCGGAGCGGAGGTAGTGGTGGCGGCGGAGGTCGGAGTGGAGGCACTGGCTCGGGCCAGAGCTCCCACCAGCAGCAGCGTCCCCAGACGACCCAGCAGCTTCGTGAGTGGCTTGCTCAGCGTGGGACGTCGGGGGGCAGTGGCCGCTGTTCCTATGTCATTCGCACAGGTGACCGCAAGGGACAGACGTGTGGGAGGTTCCACACCCCGTACCGCTGCTTCTCCCGCCTTGACGACGCTTGGCGTGAGGAGATGGGCGAGGATGTTGAGCGCCCCCGCTGGGCTGAGCTGATGAGGGCTGGTGTTGATATCTTTGCTCTTGACTATGATGCTATTATTGCTGCCATGTATGCATTGACTGTTAGTGCCGAGGGAGACTGTTACTTGTGTGTGCCGCCTGACCCAGGTATAGAGCCCGCTGCCCTGGGTACTAGTGAGTCTGCTCTCTCTGGTCTGGTGCCCTCTGTGGCTGCTCCCTCCAGTACTGTCCCTACTGCTTGTGAGTCTGCTCTCTCAGGTACAGCACCCACAGAGACTGCTCTCTCAGGTACTGCACCGGCTGAGGCCTTGCACACCTTCACCCTTGACTCAGGTGCTTCCCGCTGTTTCTTCCGTGACAGTACTGAGCTCACTCCACTTCCTGCACCGGTCCCAGTCTCCTTGGCTGACCCCTCTGGGGGCCCAGTCCTTGCACGGTCCACCACTGTGCTCCCGTGTCCGGCGGTTCCGTCTGGCTCGTTGTCGGGTTTCCACCTCCCCTCATTCTCGACGAACCTGGTGAGCAACGCTGTCATCCAGGATCAGTGGGTTGACACCTTTACTCCTGGAGGACAGCGTGTGGCGATCCTCACGTGCTCCAGGACTGGCCGTCACCTGGCTACGTTTACCCGTCAGCCGGGGTCGAGTCTCTACACACTGTCCACTGCGTCTCCTCAGGTCGCTGCTGTCGGTCAGGTGTCCGCGTCAGGTCTGGTAGCCCACGCCTGTGAGTGTCGTTCCCTGTCGCACCAGACTCTTCTCTGGCACCACCGCCTGGGCCTGTCAAATGTTATATCTGTGCTAGATTGATCTAGGCTTTAGTGGGGTAGCACTAGGGGGTACAAAATTTCCCTCGACATTCTCCTTGTACCCCCCCCTTTGACCTAATCTGATCATACCTAAGTTCTAAGATGGTATCAGAGCATTAGGACTTAGGACCTAAGCTCGGGCCCACCAGTTACTGTGTTACCCCACCTGCTTTGCCTTGCCTGCCCTGCCTGCTGCCTACGCGCGCTTCGACGGAGCGCGCGTCGCCTTTTTTTTTAGCGCGCGTCTCACTAAGCAGCCCGCAGCCCGCTGCTGCCCCGCGATCCGCGCGCCCCGCCTGCAGCCCGCCGTCCCGTGCAGCCCGCTGCCGCACGCCCCGTCGCCGCGCGTGCCCGTGCGCCGCTCGTCGCCGCAGCAGCCCGCCGCCGCGCATCCCCTGCAGCGCGCGAACAGCCGCCCGTGCAGCCTGCTGCCGCGCGCGCCATCTGCTGCAATACGCACCCCACCGCCGCGCACGCCCCGCTGCCGCGCAGAAACCGCCGCCGCGCCCTGCCTGTGCGCCGTCGCCCTGCCCTGCCTAAGCCCCGCCCTACCTAAGCATAATCCCCGCCCTGCCTAAGCCCCTGCCCATGCCTAAGCCCCGGCCTGCCTAAGCCTGAGCCTGAACCAGAGCCTACCTGCCTGCCTAAGCATGCCTGCCTGAGATTGAGTCTGAGTCTGAGCCTAAGCCTGAGCCTGAGCCTATGTTTGAGCCTGTGACTGAGCGTACTGCCTGAGCCTACTGCCTGCACCTACTGCCTGAGCCTACTGCATTTCCCTACCCTGTGACCATGGCGACTGTTACTGTTCTTACCTTTGAGCCTGATGGCAGTCCTATTGAATTTGAGACCTGGCTGAGCGACCTGCAGCTCTACCTCATGACTGATACCAAGGACGGCCGTTCACTGCTAGACTATGTGACTGGCACTGCTCCTGCTCCCGCTGCTACTGCTCCTGCCTCTGACCGCACTGAGTGGCAGACCCGAGATGCTATTGCCCGCCTAGCTATTCGCAACCACCTACCCCTCTCTGAGCGCGCTCACTTCAACTCGCTCAAGACTGCTAAGGAGGTGTTTGACGCAGTAGTTGCTCGCTATTCCGCCCCAGCCACTGCCGCCGTTGGCAATCTCATCCTGCCCTACCTGTTTCCCGACCTAGCCTCCTTTCCCACTGCTGCCGATCTGATCACTCACCTCCGCGCTAGTGACGCACGCTTCCGTGCCGCTCTCACTGACGAGTTCCTCGCCGAGAACAAACCCCCCATGTACTTTACCCTCTACATCCTCGTCACCCGCCTCCCCGACACGCTTCGGTCTGTTAGGGACTATTTCCTCGCCAAGGACCCTACCACCATCACCCTAGATGACTTCGAGCAGCAGCTAGTTGCAGCTGAGAAGAACATTCTTGCTGTGAATGCTGCTCGTGGCACTCCCCGCACTCCCCTCTTTGAGGGGTGCTCCCCCTCCCCCCTTGCCCCCTCCTACGCCTCTGCTGCTGCTGCAGTCGACCTTCTCAGCACTGAGAAGGTCAACGCCGCTTCTGCTCTTGGTGGGAAGCGCGGCGGGGGCAAGGGCGGCAAGGGTGGCAGGGGTGGCGGAGGTGGCGGTGGAGGGAGCGGTGGTGGAGGCAGCGGGGGTGGCGGAGGTGGTGGGGGTGGCCGTGGAGGTGGTGGGTGGGGTGGTGGCAGGACCGGGGGTGGTGGAGGCGGCAGCGGAGGTGGTGGAGGAGGAGGCGGCGGCACTGGTGGTGGAGGCCTGGGTGGAGGTGGATCTGGCCAAAAAGGGGGCCCCAGTGGTGGCCAGCAGCAGCAGCAGCAGCAGCCACAGCAGCAGCAGCGTCAGCCCCTCACCTCCCAGCAGCTCCATGACTGGTATGCTGGGCGTGGGGCGCCTAAGGGTGTTGATCGCTGCCCCTATATCATTCGCTCAGGTCCCCGCCAGGGTCGCACCTGCGACGGTTTTCACACTGAGTTCCGCTGCTTCGCTAGGCTTAGTGACGCCTGGCGCGCAAAGTATCCTGATGCTACTGAGTTCCCCAACTGGGCAGATCTGCTTAGGCGTGGTGTTCCTATCTTTGATCTAGACTATGATGCTATTCTTGCTGCCATGTATGCATTGACTGTTAGTGCTGAGGGTGACTGCTACTTGTGTGTCCCACCTGACCCAGGTATAGAGACTGCAGCCCTAGGTGCTAGTGAGTCTGCCCCCTCTGGTCCTGAGTCTGCTCAGGCCCTGCACACTTTCACACTTGACTCTGGTGCTTCGCGCTGCTTCTTTCGCGATAGCACCACTGTCACACCTCTCCCTGCACCTGTTCCTGTCTCGCTGGCAGACCCCTCTGGGGGCCCAGTGCTTGCCCGCGACTCGACTGCGCTTCCGTGCCCCGCGGTCCCGTCTGGCTCCCTGTCAGGTCTCCACCTCCCCTCGTTCTCGACGAACTTGGTGAGCACCGCTGTCCTGCAGGATGCGGGGGTTGATACCTTCACCCCTGCATGGCAGCGTGTGGCGATCTGCACATGTGGACAGACTGGCCGTCACTTGGCCACGTTCACTCGTCGGCCGGGGTCGAGTCTGTACACACTGTCGACTGAGTCTCCTCAGGTAGCTGCTGTTAGTCAGGTGTCTGCGTCAGGTTTGGTAGCCTCCACGTGTGAGTGTCGCCGTCTGTCGCACGACACTCTCCTGTGGCACCACCGCCTTGGTCACCCCTCCCTGCCTCGCCTTCGGAGCATGCACTCTCGCTCCCTGGTCTCTGGTCTTCCCAGGTCTCTGCCTACCCTCCCTCCCTCGCCTGCGCCGCCTTGCATTCCCTGCGTCGAGGGGCGGCAGCGCGCCGCTCCTCACTCCTCCTCGTTTCCTCCCACAGAGGCTCCCCTGCAGACACTACACCTAGACGTGTGGGGCCCAGCCCGCGTCCAGGGCCAGGGCCGCGAGCGGTACTTCCTGCTGGTCGTTGACGACTACACGCGTTACACCACGGTCTTCCCCTTGCGCAGCAAGGGTCAGGTCCCTGCTGTTCTGATCCCCTGGATCCGCGCTGTTCGTCTCCAGCTCCACGAGCGGTTCGACAGAGACTTCCCTGTCCTGCGTCTGCACTCTGACAGAGGTGGTGAGTTCTCCTCCGACCTCTTGGCAGCCTTCTGTGCGGAGCACGGCATCACCCAGTCGTTCACGCTTCCGGCCTCTCCGCAGCAGAATGGGGTTGCTGAGCGTCGCATTGGCTTAGTCATGGAGGTCGCTCGTACCTCCATGATCCATGCGGCTGCCCCCCATTTTCTGTGGCCGTTTGCGGTCCGATACGCCGCGCATCAGCTCAACCTCTGGCCCCGTGTCTCCTTGCCGAAGACCTCGCCCACACTGCTGTGGACGGGGAAGGTTGGTGATGCGTCGCGTTTCCGGGTCTGGGGTGCCCGTGCGTTTGTCCGCGATACCACCGCGGACAAGCTCTCCGCTCGCGCCATTCCCTGTGTCTTCCTTGGTTTTCCTTCTGACGCGCCTGGCTGGCAGTTCTACGAGCCCACCTCGCGTCGTGTCTTTGCGTCTCAGGACGTCACCTTTGACGAGTCTGTTCCCTTCTACCGTCTCTTCCCCTACCGTACTTCCCCTCGCACCCCCCCGCCGCTCTTCCTCGCTCCAGGTCCTCCCCAGGTAGACCCCCTTCCCGCGCCAGGTCCTGCCCCTTCAGGTGTTTCTCAGGTAGACCCTCCCGTACCTGCGCCTGTTGAGGTCACTGGTGACTCTGGTCTTGCTGGAGGTGGTGCTGTCGTCGGGGGTGCGGAGCCTGAGCGTGAGGAGCCTGGGGGTGCTGGGTCTGGAGGGGCAGAGCCTGCGAGTGTGGAGCCTCAGGGAGTGGAGACTGGAGGAGCGGAGCCTGGAGGAGCGGAGCCTGGAGGGGCGGAGTCTGGTGGTGCGGAGCCTGGAGGTGTGGAGCCTGGAGGTGTGGAGCCTGGAGGAGTGGAGTCTGGTGGTGCGGAGCCTGGAGGTGTGGAGCCTGGAGGTGCGGAGCCTGGAGGTGCTGAGCCTGCGTGTGAGGGGTCTGGGGGTGCTGAGTCTGGGGGTGCGCCGTCTGGGGGTGCTGAGTCTGCTGCTGCGCCGCCTCCTTGGGGTGGCCGTCTTCGTCCACGTGTGCCCCTCACCCCTCAGCAGCTGCAGGACTGGTACGGTCGTCGTCAGCGTCGCACTACTGGTACACGGGACTCTGCAGCTGGTGGTGTTGGTTCTTTGTCTACTGGAGGTACTGCCGTCGCGGGTCCCGGATGTGCTCGTACCGTTGGTACTCGAGCTGCCGGGGCTAGTGGTGCTGTACCTGAGGGTGCTACTGCTGGTGACACTGCGTCTGGAGACCCTGGGACTGGAGGTGCCGGTTCTGGGGGTGCTACTGCTGGTGGAGCTGGTCCTAGTGGAGCTGACACTGGGGGTGGTGGAGTTGCTGGAGGTTCTGGAGCTGCTGGGGGTACTGGAGCTGCTGGTGCTGGTGGCACTGCGCAGCCGCGACTGTTCTTCGCTCCGCCGTCCCCGTCGTCGCTACCACCTACTGACTCTGTGCTTCGCCAGGTTCTTAGCCTTCCGTCTTCTACTGGTCTTCCGTTACAGCCTGGCTCACCGCTGCCTGTTCCTTCTCCCTACACTGAGCAGTCCGGCGGTCTTACTGAGCGTCGTAAGCCTGCGTCGCGTCCTGTCTCGCCTGTTAGTTCTCGTCGTACCGCTCGTCGTGTTCCGCGTCCGCGTTCGCCGACTGTCCCCACCGC